TTCAATTCTTGGAATTTTTGATAGTGCCACCTCTTTACTGATCATGTTCTCCTGATACTTTGTCAGTTTTCGCTGAATCCTGCCCAGGTGTATGGCGGAATACCACTTGATTGGGACCGCAAAAATCAAAAGGACCTACAAAGAGTGGACCTCGTTATACTATGCTTATATCACAGAACGCAAATTTTCCGCGATCGATATGCACCATGGAGCACGGTTATCTAGATACGTTCGGCTCCCTCTGTCTGAATGCAATTGTAGTTTTGTGCTTAATTTTGAGTTTCGACTCGTTTCATGTGTGTCGGGCTCGGGCCGATCCCATCTTGTCGCGTAATCTCGCGCCGCTCGGCGTTGTTTCGACGTAAACGATAATGACGGCGGTGCGAGGCTGCGCGAGATACGTAGCTAGTGGAGCACGTCGCGTTTGCAATGCCTGTGTGTAACCGGCACTTGCAGATCTCGCACACTCTCGCCGGGAAGTAACGGACCGTCCGGACTGCGTTTTCCCCTCGTGAGACTCGATAGAGATTGTCAGCCGATCTACTAATCCAAATACGTATATATTCCAAAGGTATTCTGTCCATCGTGGTGTAACGTCGCCACGCGATTACGCTTGTTGTGGCAATCTCATTGCAATTTCAGTGTTTCCGTCGTAATGACGAGCGACGTTGACGTGACTTATCGTTATCTTTATTGCACGTTTGATAAGCGGAAGAAGTGATAAACAATTGACATAGCGGTTAGCATCGCCCTGAGCGCCGTGGAATGGACAGAACGCGTTACTCTCGTTTACCAAACGCCCTTTGCTCGTCCAGTATTCCAACCCTTGTGTACCTTTTCTCCCTCCGGCCCTAATCTGCTCACAAATGGGCAAAAGTTGAGTTTCTCGTCTTCAATTGGCAAATATAAAGCGAAGAATCGCGAATTAATCGGAGAAACTTGTCTCAAAAATATAGTTTGCTGATCCGACTCGCGCAAAATGCCTTTGCAATACTCTAGCTCGTCACAGGGTAAAAGATTAACAACCATTATATTCATTTGTAAGGACTGTAGCACAATTTCTGCTGGATGATGCAACTACAATGTAATATATTTACATTCAAATGCTTGTTTCATTTGACGCCTGTACAATCTGAAAAGTATAGCAATGCAGCCTAAAAGTCGAATTGCAGTTTTGTCCTCTCCATATCTTTTCCTTTTTATAAAGAATAAATGTATAAAAGTCTTACTTAAATTATAAAACAAAATGTGGCACGTTAAAAAATATTAAATACCGAAGCTGGCTCTGCTGAAAAAATCTAATCGCGTTCTTGATTGGCAGTTTGCTTAGAGAATGGATTCTTTCGGAAGAGACAAGGAGACTGGCAGGGAGGAGAAGATTGGGAAACTTGGTATGGGACGTGGACATCGCGTTTGGTCACAGACAGACAGCATAGGCCTTAGGCGACCGCACGGTGCATCAACCGCTAGTCAATCCAGTATAAGTTAGCGTCGTTTCAGCCGCCGCAGAATTGCGCGTGCAAGCTTGGTGGCTATCAAATAAAGCTATTTGTGTGCACAGAATCCGACTCTTCGACGACTGCAGCAACGATGCAGCACAGTCAGGAAGAAAAGAAATTTACGCTATCTCCGCAGGCTCCGGTATTTTATCCGAAATCTCAGCCTAAGGCGTCGCAGTCTTCTGTAGCGCAGTCTCCCCCAGCAGAGCCTACCGTGTTTCAGTCTTCCGTTCCTGTAAGCGGTCTATATTATTTTGATTCCTCGTTGCATTCTGTTACTTTGATTCTGACTAATCTGCCGATAGCCTACCCACCAATATCCTCCATATCCACCAAGAAGCTCCATACAAGACAGGCTCAGAATGGCTCGTGAAACGCCACTGAATGTGCACCCGTCAGTTCTGGATAGCGCTCTTGAAGATGCTTTGGAGCAGCAATGCAATATACAAGAATCGGACGTAGGAAATTACAGCAATTATAAATACGATCAGAATGATGTGAGTAATAGCAAGGTAAAGATTTGATCTCCCTTCGTTGTTGCAAGACACGTTGTTCGCGACATTTATATGCTGTCCGTATTATCCGAATTAGAGAGAGGAGAAGCAACAGAATGACAAGGAAGAGGCTTACAACTTTGAAACTTACGAACATCTCAACAACATTATCAACATTTTAATTGTCAATCCTGCCGAGTTTGACAGTCTGGTTCCACCATTTATGGATAAGCTTAGATCGAGTGGAAACATGCGCTGTCTGCAATTGGTTGTGACAACCATAATCGAATGGGTATGAGAGTTTCTCTTTCGTATCTCTCTTGTTTTCTACACTTTACTAACTTTATATCATATTTAGTCCATAGCCGAAAGTAATTTCCGTTACAATGGAGCTCGGTTGTGTAAATATTTTGATACCAGCTTAGAAGATTCCAAAGAGCTGTACATGTTTTCCAAAGAGCTATTCAGGGAATTGTTGTGCTTCCAGTAAGTCCAAACGCGTACGACATAATCGCAACTGTACTGATTTTCACACGTCTGCGATATTGTTACGTTAGATGTAAATGGGAGACTGGACTTCTCAAATCCGAATGGCTTAATCAACCCGAGGATAAGCGGGACCAACGGAAGTGCAATGGACTGATATTGTTCTTAGCGGAGTTGGTTGCCCAAATGGACGAATCTTACGCTTTCATTTTGGGAGAACTCTTGATATGGTTTATTACTAAGGTGCTGCAGAGACCAGCGTCTAGCTCCGTCAAATATATATGCCAAGCGCTCAAAGTAAGTCAAAGTGGATAACAACGGCAGTAATTCCGTGACTTTTATTTACATTCTAATGCATACTTGATGTAACGCACAGTTGGCGGGACACGTGTTGGAGAAAGACAAGAGCAGGAGCAAAGACATGGAAAATATGATGCGGGCGCTAACGGAACTTGTAAATAACGGGCAGGTCGATACACATGTTGGAAATATGGTGAACAGCGTCCACGAGTTACGAAAGGATTGGGGCAGAAGCATGTCTAATTGCGATTCGTCTGGGGCGAGCAATGCGTTATTTAACGAGGTGCAGCGACAGCCCGACCAACTGGGCGCGTCTAATTATAATTCATCCGAAACCGACACTGTACCGTTGAAGTCACAGCATCAAGTACTGCAGAAAGCGCAACTGGACCAGCCAGTGATGTACGGTCCTGACGGCGAGATTCTGTCAGCGGAGGAAAGTGAATTTCTCGAGCAACACGCAAAAATGGGTTCAGACGATCAAGGGTACGTTACAACTTCGTGTTTGTATTTTAAGAATGAAATAGGTCAAAAAGAGTAATCCCTTAAGACAAGAAATACTTGTGTTAAAAAAAATTAGCATACTAATATTATTACGTGGTGACACAGGACGTCCGAGGAAGAACCCGATGATAATTATGACGATGAAATTGCGACCGCTTACGAAGAGTTCTTAAGAGATACAAAGTGCAAATAAATTTCAAGATAGAACGTAATCACGCACGAGCAAGATTGTACTCTGGCCCAAGTATTTCGCTATAAATGCAAATATCACGTTTAAAGATTTTATGATTTTCAAAGAGATTCAAAGAGATAGATTGGATTCAACTACGTGACATTAAATATCAGATATCTGTATCATGAAAGGTAGGACGAAGAGCTATTAAATACAACGTATTAATCTGTGGGAAAAAAATGCACCAGACACGAGCAATTTTAAATTCATCTAGATCCGCCGTGTACATAAATAGTAATATATACGTGTAGCATGCAGAGTGGTTTCACTTTGAGATCGGATACTTGAATAAATCCATCCTGAATGTAAGAAAGATATTAAGGACGAAACGCATGACCGAAAAAGAATCTAATATGCAGAAAGATTGTTTTTTTTCAAAATGTTTTCAGAGTAATCAAGGTCATGTATGCACATCTCTCTTCCGCTTGTATTTTTCAGCTGATATTAAAAAATGTAAAGTTACTTTAACGTTGTAGTAAGTAATTCATATTAAAGTCTGCAATATAAAAAAAATCGATTGAAAAATTTGGCGCATATTTACTTGGAAACCTAAAAAGAATTGTTCAAGCGTTCTATTTCCGACGAACAACTCTGTATATAGATATGTGTTCCATATGTCAAATATATATATGTGTATTTTGCATTTATTTGAAGTTATATGCATATGTGTATTTGTACGAAGTTTCCTAAATATATGACACGAGTTTTATATAATTATTACTTGTACATTTGGAGGGCTCGTTAATTCATCATTTCCTTCTCAATCACCGTAGTAGATCCTTGTAAAACAACCGTCTGCTTAATAAATAGAATTGAGTTTTCGTTCGCGACTCGCAGAAGGTTTTCTGGACCGACTTTCAGGATAAATTTGCATTTCTCATTTATTTACCGAATCGACGTTGATAATTACCAAGTTAACAGAGGGAACGGATAAATATGCAAATAGTTATGTTTCTCGTCTCGAGATTGCGACGTCGAGCCGTTCACAGAAACGACAATAAAGGGGGACCGTGCGATGTGATACTGACGCATTACCATATTTTGTTCGTGCGGCATTTGCATACGCGACGTAACATTTCTACTTTTTTTTTTTTACCGTGTCCACATTTTTGTTCTAGATTAGCATGTTCTGGGAAGCGCGACGAGGGGAAGCTGCGCGATACGAAAACGGTGATCTGCAGCTGAACGGGAGCAAGCGGATTTCGATTCACTCCGACTGCGTCGCAGCGGGATCGAGCGATACGTCCGCGAAGATCCATTTTTGGCGAGAAAGGGTTCCGCCGCCACGGAACTCCGCGTGCAAAGCTGCAGCGCAGATTACTCATACCTGTTTTGACCGACTGTATTGTATTGCACGCGAATATGGAATATCATTATAGCCCGTCGTGTAATTCCACGTCGGGATGGACTTGGGATAATTACGTGCGTGCTCTCCGATGCGCGCGCTCAGCCATGGGAAACCCGTCGCGCGCACGTAATGCTCGTCAATTACGAAAAAAAAAGAAGCGGAAAAAGCGGAATTAAATCGCGTTATAAATACGTAGGCGAAATTTATCGAAATGCCTTGAAGAATAATCAGGGCCGTGTGTGGGCGAAGTTCGAAGGGGGGACCGAAGGTCGCGGATGGTGGGGCTGGGATCGTCCTCGAGTCATCTACGCGATCGCGGGTAATCGGTTAGTCTTCCTCGCGCCGATCGAGCACTAAGTTGCAAACAGAGGTGGGCATTTTATTCGGATAAACTCTTGATCTCGATTTAAGCTTGATACGTATTCGGGTAATGCATGTACTATTCATTGCTCGCGTTATCCGCATCATTCGCCGTGCTCATTATCCGTTACTCATTATTTCCTATTTGTATTGTACGAATGTCGACGGTTTACTTGAGGATTCGAGTAAAAATATCGCCGTTGCGCGAATCGCCCGTTCCTTAATTTAAGTCATTACAATCTTAAGACTCGTCTCTAGTCGTAAGAAGGCAAACTTTCGTTCGACGATTCAAATCGGGGGGAAAAGAAGTTTCGTTTCAACGTGAAAAGTTTTGCGCAGAGCTCGTATCGTCGGAGAAGCGTTTCTCCACCCGCCTGTATCCTCAGAATTTTATCGCCTTTTCGACGACTACGGTGGCAAAATGCAGCACCCGCAAGCCGCAGCCTTGCTCCTGCTTCTGTTCGCCGCGGTGGTGAACGGCAGCCACTACGTCCAATACGTTCAGTCACGAATACTCGCGTCTGGTAAGAGTTCTTCGTTATTACGCAAAACCGGAACGTGTTCCGAGTGAATCATTCGACCCTCGTCTTCCATAGACGGTTGCGACAGCTACACGTGCGGCTCCAACGCGAGATGCACGATGAGCGAGGGGCGGCCGGTGTGCTCGTGCCTGAATCTACATATGGGAGACCCGCTGGCGCGATGCGTGCGGGTCGAGTGCCTAAGTGAGTAAAACGATCCGCGAGGCATTATATAACAATTAATTCCTAGAAGAGCAAGCTCTTAGTTAATCAAGTCGGAATTTATACCCGCGGCTCTCAAGTATACATAAATCGCCACGCTACTCATTTAGCATCCTCGTCACGTTTCAGTCAACGACGATTGCCCGTACAACAAAGTATGCACGAACAATAGGTGCGTCGATCCCTGCTCGGGTCTGTGTGGGGTGAACGCGAACTGCCTGACCAGAAATCACATAGGTACCTGCGAGTGTATACTGGGACACGTCGGGGATCCGTTCTCGGGTTGTCAAGTCGCTGACCCCCGTATGTACAACTTGGCCGTTTCATCTAAAAGACATTGCGAAAACGTTTCAAGATCTTTCTAATGTGTCTGGCACCTCTCAAAAGTCTCATATCTTTTAGACGCTCGCCTCTATCTCTCTTGTTATTGTATATAATTTATAGAGCTTTATCTTTATCGGTTCTTTCTACTACCGAGAATGTTGCGAGTCATTATTAAAAGTATTCGCTGCGATATAGAAGCCGCCTGTAAGCCGAGCCCGTGCGGACAGAACACTCAGTGCGAGGTGATCAACGAGGTGCCGGTCTGCACGTGTCTACCAGGCTACAGGGGCTCGCCCTTGGCCGGGTGTCGTCACGAGTGCGACGTCGACAGCGACTGTCCTCAGCACCTCGCGTGCTCGTCGTCGTACAGATGCGAGAGCCCGTGCAAGTGCGGCGAGAACGCGGAGTGCGAGGTCATCCATCATCAAGCGAAATGCACCTGCCCGAAAGTAAGACGCCTCCGCTTTCCGTAGAGACTTATAGTTTTTATTTCTTTTTCTATTGAAGGATACAAGTCTGACTAAGCGTCCCGAACGACGGTGACGAAACGACGTGTGGGATCAATCCGTTTCTTGTTCCAGACATGGACGGGAAATCCGTTCATCGCATGTCGACCGGAGTGTACCGCCCACTCCGAGTGCCCGGCGCACAAGCCCGCCTGCCTCTATCAGAAATGCGTGAATCCCTGCGACGGCGTGTGCGGCGTGAACGCCGACTGCAACCTACGCGAAATCACTCCCGTTTGCAGTTGCCCGAAACATATGACCGGCAATCCTTTCGTCAGCTGCAGACTGTTCGAACCACGTAAGCAATCGATCATCCAATTAGCCAGAGTCGTATTCTTGGCTCATCAGTTAGTCCCTGGCGAACCCGAGAAGAAACGATTGTCTCAAAAATCGTGTCTCTGTTTTCAGGCGATCTCTGCGAGCCGAATCCCTGCGGTGTTAACGCGATTTGCACGCCGGGCCACGACAGTACCGGAAAGGAGAGGCCGGTGTGCACGTGTCCTACCGGCTACATCGGCAACGCCTTGACGAGCTGCCAGCGCGGGGAGTGCTTCACCGACAATGAATGCCCCGACAATCGGGCGTGTATCGATTTCACGTGCAGGAACCCGTGCACCGGCCGCGAATGTGGCCCGAGCGCCACGTGCACGCCCCGACGTCACATCGCGGTCTGTACGTGCCCGCAGGGGACCAGAGGCGATGCCCTATACACCTGTAACCCGATCGAGAGCAAATCGGTGTACAATTACGGCCGCGCCTACCGTTACCGCTACTAGTCACGCCGTACGAAACCGATCCCACGTTTGAAATACTCAACGTTTTAATACACCGCGTACTTTCTATTCCAATTTGTATTCGGGCGCGCCCTCGCGGAGAAGTGAACCGGGGGAGTAGAAAGAAATTAACCGCCTATTCCTTGCGCAGGTCGTGTAACAGAGTAATATATTTGTTGTAATGCTACGCTGATAATATGTCTTCCAAATCGTGTTCACCATAGATCTCACGCAAAGTGTTCTGTATGTCTTATAAGCTGCGGCTGGTCGCAAAGTCTAGTTTCGATCCTTAATAAAAATAAAAGCATAACGATTTATGCTACAGTATCAAGGCTTCTACACGATGAATTTTTTTTTCTGCCTATTTCAGTCTCATTCCAAGCGTCACTCCGCTATATTTTTAAATACGATATGTCATATTTGTAATATGTAAATTTTTACACTCTCGTGACAAGAAAGAAAGAGAATCGATGCAACGTAATGTATTACATATAAAATTTCAAATTATATTATACATCTGGTTAAATAATAATAATTTATTGAATAATTTAATATTATATTTAGTAGGGAGTGCAAATCCGTAGTTATAAAACTATTTGAGAAATTTACGAAAATTCACTTGCCTGCTATTAAAAAATAAATGATTACAATCTTCTCTTACATTTAATTATACAATTTAATTGCACAATATCGTGACTGTTAAAAAAGAATTACGCTATAAATTAATTATCATAATTATTGGCAGCACCGTTATGCGAAGTTTATTAATGCCGAAACAGACACTGTCCGCTTCAACGTCCAAATTTTCAGGGGGTTCTTCAGAAATCTCTTATTTATAAATACATACACGATGATTTTTAATTATATATCAATATGTAATATTAACGTATCGTTTACTGTAATTATATTTCGTTAAAAATCATACTTTAAGATATATGTGCTTATTGATAGGCCTTTCTAAACTTTATGACAAACGAACAAATAATGGGTATGTTCCCGTTTCCACTCGGTACTACTGCCAGTACTGGACGCTATTACTGAATTCAGTCTAAGAAAATCACTCCCTAATGCAACCATCCACACCTTTTCTTTGAGACTGAATGCTCGAAACTATTGCGAGCACTGTCAGTAGTCCTGATTGTGAGAGGAAATTGGAAGACATCCACAGTCACAGACAATATACAGTGACGATCTTGTCATATTTTTAAAATGATCATAAATGAAAACTAAATATAACTATATCTCATTTATATTGTATAAAAAATAATTATAATTATAATAAATTTAATTTAATTAATACATGACTAAAAATCATCCTGTATTAAGGACACAGATCTCTCCTATTGTTACAGTTATTTCACTCTTCTATAATATAAACGGATTGCACGCAATTTTAGATCCCGTATACACGCTCGCACTCTCTCGCCTATTATATTCAGTGACGCGACTACGATTATCACTGATATAAAATAAAACTTATATTATACGAAAAAAGTATTAAATCTCGCTCAGCCAGCTGAAAGAAAGGATTAAGATTTTTTTCCCCCGAATAAACATGAAAGTTAACAATAAATCTGCAGTCTAAAAAGTAAAATGAGGAAAATGATTTAAATAAATAAACGTAATAAAAAAAATTAAGGGGATGGAACTGAATTTATAATAAATATCACTAGATGCGGTTAATTATGCGCCGCTCTTTTGCCATTCATGTAACCGGCCCATCTCTCCGCGGTCGTAGTAAAAATAGGGTCGTTATCGATGTCAATAGAATTGAGAAGAAGAAGTTGATTAATGTGAGTAGAATGGTAATCCCATCTAGCTAAGTTAGGTGCTGTCTTTAATGTAAAATGACGTAGATCGTACGTAGAACCCGAACCGGTGTCGAATAACGTTAACATGTTCTTTAATGATATCATACCCTGATTAAAAAGTCTGGTCGCCTCCTCCGCGTCCTTAGCTACCGCTATGCTTTTCAAGTCGTAGAGACCGATAAGCGAATAAATAAAACCGTTGAGAATAAAAGAGGAGGGGGTGGTGGGATATTCCTCGTACCAGACGTATTTGCCTAGAAATTGCGCAGCCACCCCTCCTTTAGCGGATGTCAGTCTGAAAGGTCGCAGGCCCCTGATAGCGGCCTGTAAGTATTTCGCCTCTCCAGAATGATAATAGGCTCGTGCCAGCACTGATATGGCGTGACCCTGGCCCATGCTGGAGTACCTGTAACCATACATTTTTCCTTTGTAAAATCAGTTCTGCAAGTTAATTCAATATTACATGTATGTATATGCCGTAACGATACCATCCAGGCTCGAGTATAGCCATTCCAGACGCCACTTTTCTCCTGACAAGATTCGGCCAACCACCAGAGGTGATGTTCTGATTGGCGACAAACCACCTCGCTGCGTCATAAAATTGCTCCATGTGCTCGCTAGTCGATAACGTCATATTGTCAATCATGCCGGAGCCGTAAAGAGTAATTTTAACGACCTAAAATGAGGGTGTTTGTATTAAAAAAATGATCTCAAAGGAACATTCCGCGAGATACTTGTATAAAATTGTCGCTCGAGCGGCACTTACCTTTAACTTAGACCGGGGCAATTTCTTCCTACTTTTATCATTCAAATAAAGACCTTTTTGCAAGTCGACTACGAGGTCTCTAGTAAGACGTCTCCATTGATGATTGGCTTGGCCGATTCCGTAGTGCACATGATTGTTATAATTTTGCAATACTATATTGCTGGTAACATAGTGAAGGTAGTACACCTCCTTCTCCCTTGACTGCAATACAACTGTGATACTGCCATTGTCCTTAATATTAAGGTCCCATCTCAATACAAAGTTCAACACGTGATCCAGGCTCAATGATATCCCGGACGTGCTCGTCTCTGGCGTGGCGAATTTTAGGACGTAACTATTAGCTTGCTTGTCGTACACTCTGCTCATAACCGATCCTTGAGGGACGTTCCAGTTCTGCTTGGCTTTATCGGCGTCCTCAATGATCTTCCTGTGCGGCTCGGGGTCGGTTAGATTTTTACTGTAATGCGATAATCCAAATTGAGCAATTTGCGTGGGATAATAGTATCCTTGGCTCTCCCATTGCGTCGATATCGGCACACCGTCGGTGCCGCTGATACATTTTACTCTATCCCTGACTTCGACGTTGTAGTTTTCGAAGGTCATGAACACACCTCGGGGATCATACTTTCCCTTGGGGCTCACAATCTTTGAGTAACTGTGCAACCACTCGAATCTTTCCAGACCATCGTACGTGGCCAGTTTCCCATAAATCTGCAATATTGTACGCGCAACTTATCGTAATGTATTTCCAGCATAATATAATCCGAAGGCCTGTGTCCACGATGTTTTTATGGAGCAGCTGCGGGTTGATTGGCTATACATTTCTCGAAACTAGAACTTGGGCAAAGTTTCTAGCATCGCGGACACAGGCCTTCGCGCTAGCATCAGCACGACTGACCTCGAAATATTTATGGATAAATGAAAATGGTATATACACCTCGTCGCCTTCTTTGCGACATCCTATAGAGTAATCGCCGTTTATGAGACAATCTATCTCTTGGTACCCCGTTTCCGTATTTAAACGATCCTGTAATGAAACGCAGAACATATCGAATTTGTACCATCCCAAGCTAATGGATCAACAAGCTCAAATTAACTCGCTCTCGCTGTTACGTAAGTCGTACATCTGCCTCACCTTGTGTTGATATTTTGCCGCGTGGAACAACAGGCTTCCGCAATTGTTCCACGACCCAAGTAAAAAGCTCACTGTTGCGACAACCAATATGAGCAGGATTGTCTTGAAGTTCAGTCGCATCGTCGTACAAAACCTACCGATACCAAGAACATCTGAGTCACACGGCAACGGATGCATTGCTATCGATTGAAATATGTAAAGCCAGATAAGGTCTGCAATTATCCCGATCGCCAGGCAAACTCACGCGACACGGATGTCACGAACTGTTCGTCATCTTATAATTTTATCTTCAAAGAGCCTTCAAGGTGCGCGCCATCCCATCCTTCCCAGAGACCGTTTCTCCGGACGCATCGATATCAGCTGTCGTCTACCGACTGTGAGATTTCAAGCGGGATACCATCGGCATCCTTACAGATGTCAAACGAACTCGTTCCGAGCGTCGAGCCGCCGTCGATCCGCCGTGTCTTTCGGTAGCTAAGCCACCTGCCCGCAAGTGCACCTCCGAAGCACAGCGTGTGAGGCATGGAAACATTTCCTCGCGGCCGTCATCGCCGCACGGAGGCCAAGTTGCTGCAATTACATTATGTCACCGGTTAATTATACTTTCTGCGGCTGTGACGGGGCGACTGAAGTCGATTTCAAGCGTAACGTGAAAGGAATTCGTTGTATTCGCGTATACAGGAGGGCTAGTCATTGGATTCATCTCTGCGGAATCCGACGATAATCAAGCCTCTCGGGGGACAAGTCGATCAACTCCACGGGACAAAACGCAACAAGAATTTGCAAACTAATCGCGTACTTCGGCACGAAAACCGGAAAACGTGTAAACAGCGGAGTCAATCGGTCCGGCTTCTGAAAAACTCGTACGACCCGTGCTTCCGCGACCGCAAAACAACTCCAACCGATAACGTTATCGGCGACTTAACTCGCCCGGAATTTCTCGAAGAACAAAGTTCCAACGTGGACAACATCAGCCAACGAAACACAATTCGTCGATTAGCTTTAGGCCACGTGTTGAAATTAATTCTACGCGCGTTAATCCTTTCGCGACCGAAAGCTTTCGCGTGTGCCACTTACAGTCTTGCCTCTCTGGTTCCTTGGAGCACCAGTGACCCACTTAAAAAAAATCCTAATAATAGAGAAGAAATAATTGGGCCGCGCGAATCGAGCGCACGAACGTCGACGAGTCGATCGACGGGCGAGCGTGACGGGACTTCCCCGCGTTTCCGCCAAGACTTGGGCCGGAGCTTTTGCGGCGGATCGTTAACTCGAATCGGCGAGATTACCGGCGATCTAACGAAGGCGCTTCGCGTACATCCATCGACGAGTCCTCGTGCGCTCCGTGCGTAAGCGCGATCCAGCGTCCCCCTCGTCCGCCTGCGAGCCTCGCTCGAGAATGCCCGTCAGCGGTGGTTAGCGGGCCGTCCGGAACGGTGCCGCGGCTCGCGGTTGCAACATATGATCGCCGCGAATTCCGAGAACTGCAAGTGGCGTGTGTGTATGGCACCTTCGGCCGACCCCTCGGGACGCGCGCGGCGCGCGCGTGCGCCCTCTCACGTGTCTCGCTCTCGGCTTTCCCTCTCGGCACGTGGACACGTGCGCGCGTGTGTCTCTACCGTTTCCGCGGCACCGTACGAAGGCGGGTTCGCGGGCCCGTCCACGACAGCGTCATGAATCGCGAGACGCAATTCGACGTTTTCGCGGGCGCAGTCGGCGGCCAGGTGAAAGGTAATCCCCGTAGATCTCTCGCGTGCTGGTCGCGCGGCGCCGCGCGTCGATTTGTAGGTTATGTGGCCCGCGGGTAACTCACGCGTGAGAGGCGTCGATTGCAGGGATAAGAGTCGGCGCGACGCAGGAGGAGAACAAAGTGGAGAATCTGGAGCGCCTGGAGCTTATCGCGGAGGACGACCAGGTGACGAGGATCGCGTGGGGCGGCGACGACGAGCGGGAGGTCTTGGTCGCGTGCGGCACGAAAGACCGCAGGTGACGGCGCTACACTTTTTACGGCATATAATCCCGGCGTAGGGATGTTGCGACGTCCCCGAAAGTCATCTGCGAGAGCAGATATAATACAATATTAAATATAAGTAGTAAGATATGATTTCGCGCGAGCGTGGTAAAATATGCTTTTGTATGACAGAATGCAGGGGAGGCCGCTGAGGGCATTGTGGCGTACACATTTGCGGCATTACTGGGCATTACTAGGTATTTTTGGGCATCAGGCCTTGCCGGGGCATTATAAAGATATAAGATAAAGTAATGCCCACTGGGCATTAGTGTACAAGATTTTGGTCAGCGGTTTCCCCCTCGAGAAAATATCTATGCGTTTTATCGCATTCGAACCATACAAATTTTATTAATTTGAAAGTATTTTTGTTTGATAAAACGTTATTCCAAATGATTATGATTCTCACATAAGTGATGTAATTTGTAATGATGACTGTCATTTTTTTTCAGAGTAAAGATCTTCGACTCGGACAGTGGGACACTCGTGCGTTCGTTCCCTTGCAACCTGGGCCAAGAAAGTATCAACGGGATATCGGGATACAAGGGGTAAGATAGTCACGACGCGAAAATCATGCGTGGCAGTGTCGCTTGACGGGGTAATCCACGAATCTCTCAGGTGTATTTTGACGTCGGTCGGATCCGGGGAAGTGTGCCTGTGGTCACCCAGCGGAGAAGGCGAGGTATTGGTGAACGCCGGGCAGAACTTGTGCCGAATGTGCCACTCGCGCGAGCAGGAGAACGTGATAGCGACCGGGGGAGTGGAGAACAACGTGAAACTGTACGACCTGGAGAAACGAGAGCGGATATTCATCGCGAAGGATCTCCCGCACGACTGGTTGAACCTGAAAGTACCCGTTTGGATATCGGACCTGACTTTCTTGCCACTTACCCAACAGATAGTCGCGGTCGGTAGACATGGGCATGTAAGGAGCACAATTTTTTCCCTTTGCGAAAGCAATCTTGCGTAAAATTACTCACGATCGTGTTATTGACACACGCGTTATGTTCTAAAGATATACGTGTACGATCCGCGTTCCCAAAGACGTCCTGTGGTGAACATGACGGCGAAAGAAAGTTGGACCTGCTTAGCCATCGCGCCCAGAGAAAAGTAAGTCTGGTATAAAGTGATTGACTTAAAGTACCACAACTAATGCATTTATGCGCCGTAATATTGTCTCATCTGGTCGTATCTTTGTGTTAAAGACATATTGTCGTGGGCTCGACCACAGGGAGGCTGAATCTTGTCGATCTGAGAAAGACAGGCACCATATTAAATACGTACAAAGATTTTACGGGCGGTGTAACAGGAGTGGCTTGCAGCCCGATCAGACCATACATCGTGAGTGTCAGTCTCGATAAATACCTGCGGATACACGATATAGATGCGAAAACCCGTCCAAAACGCGTAAGTCCTGCCTGCTAGCTTTCCGAAATGTTACGGCATTTAAAGCACTATGTCTAATTCAATTTGTATTGCAGATTTATACGAAGTCGAGATTATCGTGTTTAATAATGCGGTCAGATATCACTATAGAAACGAAAAGTAAGGATAGTGTGGGCGCTTAGGATATTTATTTATATATAAATCTATTGGTATGAATAAAATGCGTTCATATGAATGAAAAATGTCTTGGACAATCTCTTGAGAAAATATATTGCAAGCATTTAATTTCCTATATTTTCCATATTTCTTCTATATCATCATTTGAGACGCGTCATTTCTACCTGTATAGACCGTTATAGCTTTCGTAACAAGATCTTGACAACTGAAGAATGTAGTAATTAAAAATGTAGGAAAAAGAGCGCCAAGCATACTTTTTACGTTGATAATAAAGAGCGTTTCTACGCAAACTGTATTATTTATGTTAAAATTAACAAGAATGTTTCTAAAATGATATTAGATCACGAGTAGATTCTTGAGCCTATCGTTAAAATACGGACTAAAATACGACATAAATTTAGGCAATCATTAAATAAAACATTTCTATCACAGTATATTTTTTTTACTCGACAAACTGTTCTCTCGTTTTAAATATTGTTTTCAAAAGGGACAACAAGGGTGAACGGGGAATAAGGGTAGTACGCTAATATCGCTATGTTATAACTACGCGTAATGCATAAGCATTTATATTATTTATTGTACAGTTTATTTATCATTAATACCGCATCTCGATAGAGCTTGTATTTTGGTTCTTGGATGCAGCGCGCACAGAATTCAATCGCCCCTCTCTCTCTCTCAGCTCGTCTCTCTAATATTATGTAGAATGAAGAGAAGCTAAATATATTCTTCGACAATCTCTACTGTGCTCTCAACAAGTAACAAGTTATGTCGAAGCCAAGTGCGCGGCACACGCTGCGGTATGTTACAGCGTAATCTTTAGTATCTTTAAGTAGAAGAGGGTGAACGTGGCAACTCGCAAGGATTGCAACGCATTTTGTACTAAAAAAAGAAAAGAAACAACGCGCTCGCGCGCCTACAGCACATTAAATAGTACTTTTTCAGCTGTACAAAAATCTTCGTTCACACTACGCCTCCCGTTAATTAATACTAATGTTTAGCTTTGTCTTATCGCGACTGCGCTTACATCTCAGATAGTATATTTATATACGTGTATTCCAATGAACGTGTCTCTAGGAATACATTCGCTACATTTACAGGCACTATTCCCTTCAAAATCGAGTAATTACCGTCACCTGCGTTTCTACATGAAAAAAAAAAGGAGTTAAGATCTGCGTCAAACGTCTCGAATTTACATTCCAACTGAGACAATTGATATAATTCTAAGTAAAAGGTTCCTCTGGCCGATATACACTCATCTTCAACAACTTGATTATGTGAAACCGCTTTGGAAAAATATCTTGCTTGAGTCGTATCTTTACAGGAATGTTTCTCCCGATCCATTAAAGAACTTCCTTTTTAGTTAGTGCAAAACGATACTGTACAAATTCTCTCAAAACTCCGTCATATTGTAGTCTGCGTTATTTTCAATATGACGCAAGTGATAATTGCAATTGGATTTATACAATGATGCGCGATTTTGCGTGCTATCTCTATATTTAGAGAACTCGACGCACTTGCCAATGAAAGTAAAATTAACGTCATACGTACCGTTGATGGACAAAAGCAATTAATCGCTCGAAGTATTTTTGTTCAACAAGTCGTCAGTAATCTTAATTAAGACGGTTCGTGATACAATTATAAAATCTTATTTCGGTATCGATGGATGCTACTTCAGTCCGCGTATCGTCAGCAATGATTATATGTATAATGTATAGAATTTGGTCAAATATCACATTAAAACTCGAGTATTTTTATCCGATTTACCGAATAATCTTAATAATCGAGTATATCACTTCGATTCTTTCGATTTTAACTTGTTATTTACGGACATAAATGTACAAGAACTTTGTGCGTGAACCAAGAATTCAGTTCAGACACGATTCAATCGTACTCTATTTCTCGTATTCAAGAAAAACTATAGTCGTATCGTAATAGAAAATTATTTTAGTGGTTCACTTTAGTAGTGGGGACCATGATCCTGTCTTATTGTTTCAATAGAGAGTTGTGAATATTATGATCTTTTTTTTAGTTTAGTATAAAAGCCAAAAGGGTTGCAGCATTTGTACAGAGCAGTCGCTTTATACTCTCCGACATTCGCGTGACTCTGACGATACATTGAAAATGAAATATTAAAAAGAGGACAGAAGAGAGGCAACAAACCTTCGGGTTGTTATAGATATAATCCGAAATAACTTGTATCTGTGCTTTAACAATATGTGTTAACAATATACAGGCTGATATACTCGATGATGTCATTTCTACATAAAACTTAAAAGCACCATGTCCATTCGCGTATGGAGCGGCGTTAAAAATGGATCTACTTATTATGCAAGATCAGTAATTAAGATTAGGTATTTCTAACGCATCTTTCCGGTAGAAATTAACGAAAGAGAAAACAAAAATGATTTGCACGAGTATGTAAAATGTCAAAGAGATGTTTAATTAGATCGGTGACATGTAATGCGTTCAGAAAGAAAAGAACCTGTGAAAGACCTCGCGCGTGCGAGGACACGCGTTTATTTTTTTTTTCGTCGTTCGCGAAATATTCTTCGATAACTATTTTCTTTATAAACCTCACATAATCCTAATTATACACAAGATCAAAACGAATATCTACGTTTTCTATTCCCACAAAGGGCGAATAACACAATTTGCGTAAAGAATAGTATATAATCATGATTAAGATGCGACTTTTTTTTCTTACCTCCAAGATTTTGTCGTAAAAAGCTGTCCAAAGCTCGTTCTTAAAAAACTCGTCCTTTCTTTCCCGGTGCTCGATTGTAGAAGGGCGCGGAGAATCGCATTCTGAGCAAATAATGGCGCAGCTACCTACAGTCCTTGGCGAAAAGCTCGAACGTCTAATGTGTAGCATTTGTACCATAAAAAATTAAGCTTAAGTGATTTTTATACACTATACAAGAGCATCGTGTTTATTATATCATAACGTCGCGCTCAGCGAATCCCTCTGTTACGTTATCGCGCCACGATTAATTTCTCTCAAACGGACATCTCGTATCTCCCTGCCTGCCTCTCCTGTGACGCGTGTCACCGATCAACTTGCGTACCCGCGAGGAGCCGCAAGCGATAACAACGAAGGATGTACAAATATGCAGTCGTTATGTTATTCGTTCGCCGCCGCGGTTAGAGGCGGCGCCAGTTCAGTTCGAAGTCTATTCTGTGCGTGGCGGCACGTGAAAACGGTGAAGTCTCATTCCCCACCCGAGACGCCCGAGACACAAATGTTTATCACGTCCCGCCACGTCGCCTCTTGAGACTGATTCACTAGCGTCGACTGAGGTTCCGAGATGTCCGACGTTACTGGGCTCAGCGGTGGACTAGGTGTCGCCGGCGCTTCCTCGGACTGATTGCGATCCGTCGCCTCCGCGGCGTCTTGCTCGGCTTCGCCGTCGGCGAGCGACGTTTCCGATTGCGCGGAGCTGGGAGCTTTCGACAGCATACAATCTTGTGCTCGCAACGATATAGAACTACCTTTATTGCTACTGCCATCCTCACCTAAAAAACCAACGAGGCATTAATATGACGAGAGTCGTGTTTTCTTTTTTTCGCAGAAGTTTAAACGCGCGTATTTTACTAAATCAATTCGATTGTACTATGAGAATAACGTTAGACGTTTTACAGGAAAAAAAAACTTGTACAGGCAACATAAACCGATAGAAAATAAACTTAATACGACGCATTTTAAAAGTTAATTGTAAGTGAACCGAAGATAATTAGTTATTGATCAAGAATGTTAAAAAATGTTGTACTTACCACAAGGCCTAAGAACGAGGTAGAAGAGCAGGTCGGAGAGGGATATTATACCGATCACTTTATCATCATCGTCGATCACTACTAGCCTATGAACCTATGGATAAATAAAACAAAAATATATTAACAAGAATGAACATTGATTGTCGCCAGTGAATAATTCAACAGTGTAGGAAATTAATAATCGACACAACTGGCAAATTCTAATTGAAGAAATTTATTGCGAAAAATATTACCTCAGCCAGGATTTGCGAGACACCCGCCTAGAGTGTAGGGAGGTGTTCAAACCCTGGCTGAGGTAATATTTTTCGCAATAAATTTCTTTAATTAGAATTTGCCAGTTGTGTCAATGATTAATTCCCCAATTTCGTAGATGCTCAAATTACAGAAAAGCTCCCCTACCTCCGCTCTGACAATCCTTTCCATTATAGTGAACAGTGTCTCGTCTAATTTGCAACTCTGAACGCCTTCGAACCATTCATTGCGGTGCTCATTTGCTTCGCGCAGCGAAACGTCTAGATTATTGTATGTCTTTTCCGCCGCCAAGTTCTGAAAAAGCCAAATACTTGAGCGTTAGCGCGCGCAACCGCACGGTACAATCTCGCCGCAACATGATTTAGGGAAAAAGTGTGACTTACAATAACATCGAACTTTGAATAGATGTTCACTAACTTCCCCTCGGAGTCGACAATCGGCAATGCCGAGACTCTCCTCTCCACGAATTTTTTCAGCGCTAAAATTATGCTAGTCTCCTCCGTAGCTGTTTCTATGTTCTCGAATGTGCCTATCCTCAACTCCCTCAGCGTTTTGTTGGTGAAAGATGGTTTCGGTAACTCGTGGATCTGCCAAATTGCGAGCGGATTAAAACAGATTCGCTCCAGCGAGTAATGCCATTCATTCGGATAGACGGCTACGCGTACTCACATATAGGAAAAGAAACCTAAGTATTCGTTTATGCGTCAAGATATAAAGGACGTTTCCGGTGTCGAGATCTATCACAGGCAATCGGTGGATTCTGTTTTGTATTAAGGTCCTGATAGCCTCGTACAGCGACGCGTCCGGCCCGATGCTTACAAGAGGGTGGACTTGGTCCTTCAGGACTTCTGCAAGTCAATAATTTCCTGGATATAATTCCACGGTATCGTGAAGGACGAGTCCTGTCGTCGCGTATCCGATAGGACACTCAGACTAGAGTTCAATTATCCTCAAATTCGAGGGAGAGCTAAGTGCCGCGACAGGGTGTTTAGTTTATTGCGAAAAATTATAATAAAACTATTTAAACCCTAACACCCTGTCGCGGCTCTTAGCCCACTTACTTTATTCCTTCGAATTTGTATTTAACATATCCGAGCCTCATGTATTTATTATTTCAATTATTCTGTTCGCGCGACCCACAAGCCGCCTCGCCACAAGAAGAGGTCGAACTTACTTCTCCACGTATCTAGCTCGTGCTCTTCCAACTCGTCCATTGTCACCGACGGACTGGTGTAATACATCTGAAGTATCTTTATGAAATCCGTTATAGTCAGCATGCCGACGAACTGCTGCCGAGAACTGTCCCACAACGGCGCGGCCCTCACCCCTGAAAAAATATCGGTCGTTACCGAGCGCCGTTTTTCGCGCGGGTCCCACGTAATCGGGTGCGAACTTACCATTGTAGACGAGAGCGAAGAAGGCCTTTTTAACGAGCAGATGAGTGTCGAAGACGACCAGCTTGGCGCTGGTCGGTATTAGGTCGTAGCATTTGTGAAACTTGAAGAACTTGACGTAGATCTGCGACTCGTCCTCCTCTGAAAGCCCAAACAGTTCGCAGTAGAGAAGAGCCTTCTGGTTGCGGCGGAGCATTTTCGTGCGCGGCGCGGCTGCTCAAAACTTGATACACGTTTCGTATCGCACGCACGTAATTTGCGTGCTGTCCCGCCGTTCGCCGCGTAACACGCCAACGTTTTAATTAATATCCCGCAAATTGTCCGTCACTATCCGAGATGCGAGCACGTTCGAGGGAGCACCCGGTTTTTTTTCTCTCCGCGACTTCTATTACGATTCACCTAAGGAAACACCTAAGAGTCTACCGAAGTTTCGTCCCCGAATACCACTCGGTGCTTTATCTCGTTGGGTAAATGTTCGTTCGGAGCGAACGCCAATTCTGCTGAAATTCTGTTAATACGCATCTTCCTTTTGATAATGTAACACGGATCTCGATGACCCAGTTTGGAGTTCGAACGAGTTAACGATATTACATAACGCGGTAATGGGACTTGATTGAATGACTGATAAATTGCAATTAAGCATCTCGGAAGCTCGATTATACATCCGGAGAGAAGTTATATCCGTAAAATATCGTCGATGTATTCACACTTTAAAAGTACACATTGCAGATAAAGGATTGCGGTAACAAGATAAGAGCCATATTGTTCGCTAGAAGCGATGAGTAACGTCACGAGGAAAAAAAAATGATGGTAAATTGCACGAGAAGAACAACAGAATTACCGCGGCGTATCTTCGATTAACTGCGCGACGTGATGGAAAAGAGGAGTTTCCAAGAATTGTCTCGCACGCAAAATGGTGACGAAATGCACACGTACAACATTTATTAATGTTGCAATACGGTGAACGAGTAAAACATTTCTTTTTTTTGTTAAATCCACATAATTAACGGGGATTAATAACGGCGTCACAATTACCGAAAAGAAAATATCGAGAGAGGACTATCGAGCTGGGGCGTAACTCTTTTTCGCGCGTCGCCGAGGGAAACGCGTCGAGAAACCGTGAACGAGAGAACGGACACGACGACAGGCGTCACGTTTACACAGCGATCACTCCAGCGGCAACGCACGTTCAGCGATTCTTTCGGGATCGCTGGGCGTCTGGCGACTTGGCCGTTACACAGATTGGGATACGCGACCGCGACCGCGCGACTGATCGGAGGCGAAAGAGAACGCGGAGTCACGAACAGCTGGCAACTCGAGCGAGGCGAGTTAAAAGTCCCTCAGTCTGTGTGCGTGTGTGTTGCTGCATGTACGTGCATCCGGTAGAGCAACGAGTGCGCCAGCCGTTAGAAGGAAGCCCGCGGCCTCTCTTTCCCGTAGCGCGGAGGTTTCACAACGCGCGCGTTCCCTCCCGTCCATCCCGTTATAGGCCTGGACAGAATGGTTGCCTCGTGCTTCTAAGACGTTTGACGGTCCAAATTTAGGTAACGCACAATAACTGTAGTCTTAAGCCAACGGCACACGACGCTATTTTCCCCACTGGATTGCTTACGAGAACCGGTAAGGACGCGGAGTATTAGATCAGGTGACTCAAGGCCGAATCCTGATTGGCTCTCGCGGCAATCCAGCGGGAAAAATAGCGTCGTGTACCGTTGACTTTAAGTCCCAGTCTACAACAGATGATTTAAACGCGGAGCCCTGAAAGCCTGTGTCCGCGATGCTGGAGCTGTTCCATAAAAGCAGCGAGTTGATTGGCTACACATTTCTCGGAACTAGAACTTGGACCAAGTTCTAGCATCGCGGACGCAGGCCTTAAGAAATGGATCGATCACAGTCGAAAATAAAGAGGATGCTCGGCGGTGATTGGCCAATTTTTTGGGGGCCTAGGGCTTAAATCACCTATTGTAGACTGGGACTAAGAGTACAAGACATTCTCATTCTAAGCCCTTGCGACTGGAGACGCAAGGCAGTTATAGTGCGTCACTGCAAGACAAAGACTTAAAACGTAAAGCACTGTCTTGAGCGTACGGGAACAGCCATTCTGCTCGTGCCCTAACGTTGCGAGAGACTCCTCTGGGGTAGAGTAGGACGCCTATTACGAGCGAGAGCCCGATCGAATCCCCCGACCTAGAACCGAGACGCAATATTGACATTCGTATCCGCGACTCGGTGATCTCGGTCGCTTGAATTAACCGAAGGTACGAGACGTGGGGTCTCATCGATCGCGTTTCGTAAACAACAGCGCGTTCCGTCCCGGCAGCTTGGCCAACAGTCACGGCCCGCGATACCTTTGGACAGGATCCAGGCGAGCTCGTCCTCGAGGGGCGGGTCCTCCACCTCGAACTCCTTGATGAGGTCCTTCGAGTACACGGGATCGTCGTCCTGGCCCCACCAGGCCGCCGCGACCTGCCTTAAAGCGGCGCGAACACTTGCGGAGTCCGAGTAGTAGTGCAAGGCCAGCATCGCTCAACATCGCCCGCGTCGATCGTCGACGACACCCGTCCCGGCGGGAATCAACCAATCGCCCGGGATACCCGCGACTGCCGCATCCTCCACCCCGGGGATCTGGCGACGTGTCCTCGACGCTGGCTCTTTATTCCGAGGAAACCCCCGCTCAAGCTGCTCATGCCTCAGTTTCGGCCTCGCGTTTACGGCTGCGATATCGTGCCGAGCCTCCTCCCAATTTAGCGAACAAATCGCCCCCCCCGAGAGTCTCCTCGGAGTCCTTTTTGCCAATCGTCTCCCGTCACCAGGATCCCCCTCTCATGATCTACAACGCGGTGTCCGGCCTCCCTGTCGCTCTCCACGTAGACCTCCACGCAAATCGACAGCCTCGTCGCTGGCGAGCACCACGACTGCCCAGTCGATCCATCCTCAACGGCTCGCTACGACCGTCTCTCTTTCGCTCCCGCGCTGGCCTCTGCTTCTTCCTCGTCGTCGTCGTCGTCAACCAACGTGCCAAGAATAACCGTCGCTAGTGCGTCTTGCCAAAAGAGCGAGGCGCGCCAAGTCTCGCATCGTCTCCTTTCGTTAGGACGTTTGTTTTTTCATCTTTATCTAATAATCTCGAAACGCCGCGACGTAAACAACGCCTGGGCCGCCGACGATCGATGCCCGCGACGTTTTAACTGTACCAACTGGAGCGCGTCTCATCCGCGATCCAACTGATCGCGCATTCCCTTCGGCCTCGTCTTATCGTGCCCGACAACGCGTCGCGCTGCCCTTTCGAATTCATCCCCTCGCCGTCCTTTCAGACCCGGAGCACGTGTCGACACGCGCGCGCGCGCTCACGAACGCGACATTTAATCCTGGAAATACAGTCGGCGGCGACGGTTTCCAGTCGAGCGGGCTCGAACGTGGACGAAGGCGCGGGGATCGACCCGCGCCGCGGGTCCACCGGTGACGGCGGAATCCGACGCACGTAATAATAAACTTATCGAACCTGGGCGCGGGGGTCTGCCCCATGACCTAGACCTAGATAGGAGGGAGCGCGCGCCAGTGCGACGTAGAACGCGACCGAGCGAAGCTGTGTATCGCGAGAGTATCCCTCCCCCTCGCTCTTAACGCCAGCTGGCCTCCCGGGAGCTCATCGATCGCCGCCATGCACTAGGACACGTCGGAAGACCTAGTACCACGATTTCGAGGGGGGAAAAAGCCACGCGGGGCCCCCGCGAGGGAAAACACGTGGGGGGGCTCCGCTCGCGGCGTACGTCGCCGACGCTCTCTATTCAACGCCGATCCTAATCGAGTTGTCATTCACGGCGCGCCACGTCCGAAGGATGCAAACTCCACTATTGTGATTCTTAATTGAACCGAGGGGGGGCGACGGGGACGTACGCGCGCTCCGAAGACCTCGATGGCTTTTTGCAGCGCGAAATTAGCTTCTTCAAGTCCGATAGAGTCTTTGATCGACGTTAAATTTATAACAGCGTCGAACGTTTGAGATACTACATCAATTCCCTTCCGATAAAGGGATATTTCTCCTCTCGGCGCACACATACATCGGAGCCTCCGTTCGTGCAACGTTCCAAGATTAATATCATTCGAATTAACGAATTGAATTGCGGACGCGAGACCCTCGAAAGCTCGCTTGTTACGAGCATTCCGGTGGGATTGTTCGAGCAGGCTCTTATTATTCCGGTCGACCGATTTGCGAGTAAAAGCGCTGTAATCTCGTCACGAGCGATTTCCAAAAGACTGATTTACGGGACGAAAGAATAAGCAAACGGAACTCACCAAGATCGGACAGTGAGACTTTCTCCAGGAAGGGATCCACCACCGGCAGCTGCAAATTAGAGACAGAGAAATTAGTAAAGTGCATTCCGAAACGCAGTCGTTGAAGATCGTGTCGCTACAGGCGACAATTCTTTTGCGAAACAAAAAAAGATCCGCTCGTTAGGCCCCAAATCGTTGCCGCTAAAAATCACAGTGGTATTTTCTCCAAGTCGATCTCTCCTTAATCTCAAAGTGAGCGAAGAATCACGCGCCAAGGTTAATGTTTTTCTCGTGTCTTAGGGAAACCCACGCGAGAAATCCACCCACCATTTCTCTACTTCCCTGCCTTCATCCCTTTTTCATGGCCGAGAATTTACGTCGAGGATTACGAGGACTTGCTTATAGCGAATTCGGTTGCTTGCACCAGTGCGCACTGAGGCTCCTGTTTACAGTCAATTCTTGTATTTAAAGATCGTCTTAAATATCTCTTGAAATATTCAGCCGCACGGTAAAATGTAAAATGTCCAAATTACATTTTGTTAAATTCATTTTATCATAAAAAAATATGTTAATTTCACGCTAAATTTATTTCAAATTATTTTGAGATTTGCATTTATTTTGTGTTAAAATATTAACAGAGTATTAGTGTGATCATTTAAAGTGTCCATATTATGATAAGTTAACACAAAAGTTTGTGCGGACCGTTCGGGACATGTGATATCTGTTAAAAGTAACACAAATTTTCCAACTGTGCAGTAAAATGATCTGCGTAACGTACGGGCCATCTTTTGGCTAAATACTCTCTGAACGTGTAATTAAGCCAAAGTTACGTGTAAAAAAATGACTGTAAGCCCTAGCGTGCACTCGGTGCGCACTAGCAATCGAGTTCGCTGTCAGAAAGATCGTCTGTCCAAAAAAACAAAGAAGAAGAGGAGGCGGGAAATACCAGGGTCCGTTTCAGCAAGGATCTCGGGCTGAAGGTGTGCCGCCTCTTGATCCTCGTGTACCAGTTCGTGAGGACTCCGGAGCCCGTGGCTTGCGCCACGTCCGGGCTCTTGGCGATACTCCCGGTCGGCTCGCTCGTCTGACGTCGGAACAACATCTCGCGGCTCGTTCGAAAAAAAAAAAGAACGAAAGGGGGCTAGTCTAAACGAGCCGCGGCCCCCTCGGAGAGTCTCTCGACGGAGGAGAGACTCGCGCGACGCGCTCTCGTGCGGCGCTCAAAGTCTATCGATCACAGCTCGCGATCACGTATCCCTCATCCTCGACCTCGACCTTCTCCTCGTCGTCGTCGTCCTTCCCGCCCGGGAGCGCGAAACTCGGCGACGATCGGCCACCGACTCAGCGCAGCTCGCTGGATCTCGCGTCTACGCGACTGTGTTTACGTCGCCGCGACGAGCGGAGGCACGGCGTTAACACGTCCTCGCTTAACACCTCCGCCGGTGTTACCCGCGAGCGCGCTGTCCGGGATATTTTCGACGGTGGCATAACTCCCTCGCTCGTCGGCTGGACGCGGAGCGGCGGGAACGCACACGCCGCGCGCCGGCACGCACGCACGACGCGCACGCGGTCGGCTAATTGCGCTGCAGCCTGCCAAGAATTCGCGCGACTCTGTCAATAGACCGTGGCTCCGATAGTCCCGCGAGCCGCTACGCGGGTATATCGGATGACGTAACGCAATTTAGATCTCCTCGCCGCGATGCACTCTCTCCGCGCTCCCGAAAGCCGCGGCTTCTTTTTCTCCGCTTCTCTCTCCGTCCAATCTCTCTCCGCCCGCTCTGTCGCTCGGTCAACGGGGCCAGGGAATTAATCTCGCGGCCGGCGACTCGTGTCCGTTTCTACGAATGCAGATTGACTTTAATCTCGGATTAACTTACTTTCCGCCTTTTTCTTAGAACTGGAAAGGGACGAGGAGGTCAGCCGAGATTCAAAGTCAATCTACGTTCGTAGAAACGGACGTTGTCAGCCCTTCAGTCGTCGCGCTAATTTCTCGCGACGGTCGTGACGCAGGTGATCCTGGCGTAAAAAAAAATCAACAGGGCTGGGAAGTAACGAAGTTACAGTTACTTTATGTGCATTTTAAACCTCCACAGATCGCACCAGGCCTCGCGTTTACGCGTAAACGCCTTTATCGACGCCTTACAATTCAAATGCAGATTCGATACTTTTCTTTGCGTTACTGAATATCGACGGAACTAATTGAGAGAATGGATTAGTATTACTTAAAAATCTTGGATATAGGCAGAATAGCTAATTGCGATTTTACGCGGGGTAAAATTCGTAAAAGATTAGAGTTACGAACAATCCAAATAATTCAATTACTAATTGTGGGCCCCAAAATGGGTTGCTGACAATGCTGACCCTCTCTTTCCCCAGAGTACACTTCAATGTATCATAAAATCGAATCGATATAGCGCCAATCATATATTTTAATCTTAAATAAAACATTCTAAAATCTAGAATAAAATAAGAGCACGTATCGTCTTTTGTCGAATATCGCGGTGCCAACTACGTGCGTCGTAAGACGGAGGGAAAATTTATTCTAAACGCAAGAATATATAAAGCGACTCTTGTCTCAATATAGCGAGTCAATCTGTTTTAATTCGATAGAGGAGAATAAGAATTATTGATTTTTATTTTGGTATCGTCTTATTTTTATACCAAATGAGGCTGCGAGAAATATAAATGCGTTAAGAATATGTTTCTTCTTTTCTTCTCGGTAACAGAAATCCTTTCTGAGGGTGCGGGTTCGCGCGGAGATCTCCTTCGGGAAATAAAATATATTCACGACACATCACGCGACGACCGGAGGGTTAAACGGGATATCCCGCGAGATTCACGCGGAGCCGCCTGCGCGCGTTTTAAATCGCCGACAGGGTTGACAGCACGCGGCCCACGCGATTTTATTAAACGCCGAGTATCTCAAGGAAAGACATAATACGGCGACGCCGACGCGGTCTTCGTTGTGGATCACCGGCTCGAAAAGCGCCCCGGCTTTTTTTTCCTTCCCTCCCCGTAGCCGCAGGGTCGTCTTTTTCCGACTCGCGCGACCGGGCGGCTCATTCGATCCGCGCCAAGAATAGTAGAACGATAGATAGCGCGGCACACGTAACAAGTGTAATAAACAAACGTGCGAGAAAGGAGGCGCCAAGCACCTCTCCCTCTCTTTCTCGCGCGCGCTATATTTATTACATCATCAATAAGATCCGGTATTTGAGCGAGCGAGCGGAGTTTACTCGGAGGAGAGAGAGAGAGAGAGAGAGAGAGAGAGAGAGAGAGAGAAAAAAGACGAAAATCGAAGACGGTGTCGCGCGAAACCGATTCACACCGTGTCCGCCTGGTCTCGAATTTAAAAATACCCGCCGGACGGGAACAACGTCCGTGGTTTCTGGCGGAAATTCTAGCCTTTTGGGTGGCCAGCGGACCGCGCGCACTTTTATCCACGGCCCTTTTGCTCGTTTTCCTCTTCATCGGTCACTCGGCGAGATCCGAGGATTGACTCAGCGCGGCGCGGTCTTCGGCGCGCGAGGGACGAAACAGCCGGCGGAGCGTCATTCGGCGCGGCTCGTTATCGTCATGGGCGTGTAACGTGGGACTTTTTTTTTTGCAACAGCGGGGCGTAGGCGCGCGCGACGAAGTTTCGATACAACGCGGGACGTCCGCAAGGCCGCGGACGTGAGATAAAAAGTACCCGCGTGCGTCACGCACGCACGCGGGATGGAGGAAGGGGAGGAGGACCGAGGCGCGCGACACACTCGCGGCGCGGCAACTTGTTGACTTGTCTACTCGCGCGCGGTTCGCAACCCGGACTCTCGGGCTTCGCGAAATGCTCGCGCGCGCGCGCGCGATCTGGAGAATCGCGTAAACCACGGCGACGCCCACGCGAGAATTCCACGAGAATTCGCGCGAGTCCCGCCGCCCCCGCGCGACGCGCCGGTGGCAGCCGACGCGGATCATCGAGGCGTTTCCCGTGCGCCGGGAGGTAAACCGCTGACCAGAATCACGTACACCAATGCCTACTAATGTATTCAAATGATTTCACCGACCGATGCCCGGAGGATGGGTGTCAACGTCTTTTTAAAGGCCGCGATGCTAGGACCTGGTCCAAGTGCTAGTTTCGAGAAATGTGCAGCTAATTAACTTGCGGCTTTCCCGTAAAAAGTGTAAGTTGATTGGCTACACTCTTTTCGAAACTTGGACACAGTTCTCGGATAGTCGACGCAAGGCTTAAGGCCTGTGTCCACGATGCCAGAACTTGGTCCGAATTCTAGTCTCGAGAAATATGTAGCCAGTCAACTCGTAGCTACTCTCCGTAAAGGCTGCAAGTTGATTGGCTACACCCTTTTCGGAACTTGAACACAGTTTTCGGATAGTCTGCTTTGCTTGGCTTCCGTCCACGATGCCAGAACTTGGTCCAAATTCTAGTTCCGAGAAATGTGCAGCCAAACAACTTGCAGCTTTTCCGTAAAAAGACTCCGTCGAAACCACCTGCCAGTCCAAGTCGTGGGATAATTCTCTCTTTCGGCAGTAGTGCCCGGTGGGCATTACTTTATCTTATTGTCTCATTTCATCTCGTTTTACATCTTTTATAACGCCACAGCAAGGCCAAATGACACCCACTGATGCCCAAAAAAACGACCGGTAAAGGCCTAGATCCTGTACACCACAATGCTCTCAGCGGTTTACCCTTCGGCCGGACGCGATACGCCCGCTGAGTATTATTTCGGCCAGGCCCTCCTCCCGCCCTCCCGCGTCAATAAAGATTACGAGCCCGAATCACACGAGATTCGTTATCTGGAAACGTTCGCCGCGGCCAGAGAGAGAGAGAGAGCGATAGGGATCGCAGCCGCGTGTATATATTTAAACGCGGTTTGCTCGCCAGATGTGGGGAAAGGGTCGAATTACTCGAGATCTATAGGAAGCGAACGCGCGTCAATTATCTCTGCGCGCGCGGCGAGAGGAACGAGCGTTTCGTCTTGCGCGTTTGCGCCGGCAGGCGCGGTCCGGCGATACTTAACGAAACTGTCGTATCTAAATATAATTCCGCGCCGCGATTGTTTGCAAACACCCCGGCCGTCCGGCATTCGGTGGTCCCGGCGTCCGTGAGAAAAGCCGCCGGAGTGAGTGATCTCAGTGGAGGGAGGCGTGCGGGTCCCCGTCGTCGAGGATCGACGATCGAGAGCGCGCGGCGGAGCGCGCGACGTCTCGTCGGTCCTCGCACGCGCTAATTATGACGCAACGAAAACTCCATGTTCCGCGTGCGACAGAGAAAACCAGTTTTTCCCACTTCTCGCGGGCGTAGAGGTCGGAGGGAGCGCGGAGAAACGTCGAAAAGGCAACCTCGACGTCGGCATTATCGCGACTGCGTTTCGATAATCTCTCTCGCACTCTCGCGCGCGCGCGCGCACACCCCGAGTGTGACCGTGAAAGCGGCGCGGCCGAGGGTGGCGGCGGGTCAGGGCCACGCGAGCGCGAAGGGACGCGGCGCTTCCCGAAAGCGCGCGCCGCGCGCGCTATCGCTGCGCTCACGTTTTTCTAGCAACAAGTGTTCGTCTGGTGCCGTGTCGCTCGTCCCGGCCCGGCGCGGCGGCCGCCCGACGACGGGGAGATCGAACTACGTCGTTACATCGCGCGCCTCCTCCCCCGGGGATCCCCCGAGAGAGCCGTCTCGCTCGCGCGTTCGATCGAGCGCCCGAGAATCAATCAATCGTGGACACCGAACTCGCGAACGCGCACCGGCGGATCGCGTGAGAACCGGGCGCCGAGAACTCGACTTCTCCGTCCGCGGACGCGACACAACAGGCACGTTCACGCCCCCGCGAACGGCGATTAATCGCTCGCACCCTCCCCCCCCCCCCGAGACGCGGCGCTTCGTTAATCGCGAGCGCCTACCGCTGCTGCCGCCGCCGCCGTCGTCGTCGTCGTCGTCGAGATACCTCGACTCCACCGCCGATCTCGCGACAAAGAACCGACCGATTTTCTCGGGACACGCACTCTGTCCTCCTATCTCTTCTTCCCTCCCGCTCTCGCTCGGCCGCTCGCGAGAGAGGGAACTCTCGGAAAAAATTTCACCGACGCGGAAGAGAACTCGCGCGCCGACAGGTGACAGGCGCGAAATCGGACCGCGACTCCCGTCGCGGACGTTGACGCTCGTCGTTCGGCGAATGACAGACCGGAAGCCTGATCCCGGATCGCGGCGGGGAGGACGCGTCCTCGGTCGCGAGGACGCCGCCAAGGGAGGACGGGCGAGAGGAACTCGCGGAACTTGGACGGTCGTCGTCGGCGCTTCCTCGGCGACCGTCCGACGCCAGCCGACGGTAGCTCGTGCTCAACTGGATCACACCGTCCAGGCCGGCGCCCGACGACGGCTCGCGACACGTTGTGTGTATGAAATTTACGGCGCATCGACGCTTACATGCGCGCACGACGGCGCGCCGAGACGCGCGGGACGCACGAACGCCTCCTCGAGGCTTCTCTCGTCGGGACGCCTCCGTCGCGAGCCGCGCGATTAATTCGATTCGCCGTGCGTCAGCACGGATTTTTAAGTACTCCTTTCGCGGGTTCGGAGCAAGGGCCAGGGCCAGGGCGCCGCGGGCAAGGGCGCGTCCTCGAACGACGTCGTTTTCCACGGGTCGGTCCACGCGAGTCCGGATCGCGCCGGCGACCATCGCGACGAGAGATAAGGACGTCGATAAGCGCGCAAATATGTACTCAGCGCGCGCAAACGGCGAGGTAAGAGTAAACGGAAAGCACGAGGGGGGAGGGAGAGGACTCGAGGCTCGCGAGACAACATCGTGCTAGCGGCGAGACTTGGTTTTTACAATTCTGGTTACTAGGAAGAATGAACGCGCTGGCGAACGATATTAATTCTTTTTCTACGTGATCGGGATGATCCCGATAGAGATGTGAAGAGAGAGAGAATTTTTTTAAGGCTTGTGTCCACGATCCAAGAATTGTGTCCAAGTCCTAGTTCCGAGAAATGTGTAATCAACTGTTACGAAAAAGCTGCAAGTTGACTGGCTACATATTTCTCGAATCGAGATCCCGGACCGATTTCTGACATCGTGGACACAGGGCTTTAAAGTTCCACGATGCTAGAATTTGGTCCAAGTCCTAGTTCCGAGAAATGTGTAATCAACTGTTACGAAAAAGCTGCAAGTTGACTGGCTCCATATTTCTCGAATCGAGATCCCGGACCGATTTCTGACATCGTGGACATCAGGGCTTTAAAGTTCCACGATGCTAGAACTTGGTCCAAGTCCTAGTTCCGAGAAATGTGTAATCAACTGTTACGAAAAAGCTGCAAGTTGACTGGCTACATATTTCTCGAATCGAGATCCCGGACCGATTTCTGACATCGTGGACACAGGGCTTTAAAGTTCCACGATGCTAGAATTTGGTCCAAGTCCTAGTTCCGAGAAATGTGTAATCAACTGTTACGAAAAAGCTGCAAGTTGACTGGCTACATATTTCTCGGATCGAGAACCCGGACCGATTTCTGGTATCGTGGACACAGGCCTTTAGAAATATCGAAATGTCGACTGTATTTACGTTTCAGACGCGTTACGGGAGATATGAATCGCGCGAGTTGTCAGGCTCCTGATGTGCGAATAGATAAGGCGAGAGATGTACCGACGATCGCCGCAATCTCGCGTGGATAAATTACCAACGCGCGGCAAACTTATCGCGACATTCCCAGTTTATCGTTGGCAGCGGGTTCCCTTATCGACGCTTCTGAATTTTACAATGGGCTCTTGTCTCGCTACGGTAAGGCAGAGATCGCGAGCCGGCGCGCAAACTTGGGACATGCCTTATACATATTTCGTCAGGGTTTAACGTCTACGCGTGAAACATAATCAACATGTAAATTTTATGTTTAACGCGTTACGCAAGCAATGACTAATTCATGGATCGTCGAACATTTATATTTCATTGCACTTTACGTTTTGTCTGCGATTTTATTGTCAATAAATTTTGTTCGGGCGCAATTTTTAGCGCCCAAGCTAAAAACTTAATAGACCGCGAATCAGTAAATAATAATATTCCTATATTAATATCATGTATCTTTTATGCGACTGCACAACTAATTAATAAATAAATTATAACTGAAATGCATCTATGTATCGATTCTTTTTTACCTGATCTAAAACTACTCTTTTATTTTTAGGACTGCAGTTAAAAAAATTAAATAATTAACGACTCAGTTAATTCGGAATAATTTACACTGTTATATCGTGAAAAAGGTTCGCGTAAACGTAACGTAAACAATCCATGTACACGTAACCGGTGAAATTTACCGCACAACCCTGATATTAATAACACTGTGACTTTTAGCGTAACACATTCGCGCAAATGTGTAATTCGAACAGCGATTCCCGATGACGACGTATCGACTTACCCCTCGCGCATCCCTGAAGAGTATGGCAGCGTGAACCGGATCCAGGCAAGCGTCGGATGCTCGGTGAGGTATCGCAGGTGTCCCGAGGGATAATCTCCGTGCCGTGGGATCCAATGAACTTCTCCTGTGCGCGCCTGAAACAAGCGGATTGTATGCAGTCGATTGGCGAAAACGAGAAGAGATTTAAGGGAGAGACAACGTCGACGGTTGCATCGACGTGCGCACGGAGGGAATTTTCTCTGAAAATTTACCCCCAAAGTCATGCAATCGTGAGACAATACGGCACTCCGAGGAACTTTATGGGAGCTTTTTCTTAAATGCCATGTTGTCTCACGATTACATCATTTTCAGGGATCTTGAAATTTTAAGGGAAAACTCTCACCGTGTGCGAAGAATACGGTTCTGCAGTCGATTCCTCTTGTTATTCTAATCGTGATTAAGCTAGCGTAGACGCCACACTCAAAATCCAAGTGTTATTTTTTATACACACATATCCGTAATGTGATGAAGGCACTTGTACGTTTCTTGTCGTTAAAATCGCAACACGCGACTCGACGTACGTCATTTTACACGTTTTTTTTGCTATTTAAAATGACGTGTAAGTCACGTCACATATCGCGATTTCAAACGGCAAGACGCGTGTAAAATGTGCCATTAACAGATTACACATACAATGTGCATAAAAACAACGCACTTGCACTCGCAGTCAACTTACGGTCCGGTGAAAAATTTCAACGTTATACATTTATACATTGTTGCGCTCACGGTCCTGCGATTCGATCGTCACTGGACCTTTTTAATATACCAGAATTTTAAAAGAGATATCTTGCTTCCCAAAAATAAACTTATTAAATTCCGATCATTACACAGATTTTAATATAGCGCTCCTGAAGGAAACACAGAGGCCGGGAGCCTTTAAGCTAGAGCCACCGAAAGGCGAATATTTTACCCTCAGACTTTATCTCAACCGACGAAATATGCGACACGTAATATGTAAAATATTCACCCTTCAAAGCGAGAGGCGGTTCTTCCTTTGCGAAGAAAATGTATGTAATTACCTGTAAAAAAACGTAGAAAAATGTAGAAAAGAGGAAAAAGAAAACAGTCTCCGCGTGAAACAAAAGTATTTCCCCCGTACACTACGATCGCCACTCGGTATCTGCCAAGCTTTCGAGCTTGGCTCGACCGACTATGATCATGCCATGCGTGCTTCTGCCATTGTAAACAATTTTAATGGTTACGATTAGTCCCAATCGTCTTGGGTTTCGGCCCGTGACAGTCGGCCGTGTAACATTAGACAATTCATCGGCGGACGTACGAAATTTGTCATCGCGATTATTACGTAAAACGTGACTCGTTTTATTTACATTCCGCCCATGGAGAAATACGACTCGCGTCGTCCGGTGTATCCTTTTACCGGACGGAAAGGGATCTAATGTCGCAAGGCGATATCCCGTTTTTCGAATTCCCGCGGATTTCGCGCCGCGGAACAATTTCACGCGCGACCGTTCGCTCTCTCGGCCAATTTCTTCGGCCGCGTCGCGCCCGGGGGAAAAATTATGTAATCCCGTATCTGTTTGCGATGAATGCAAATGTAGCGTGGTGTGCCGTGGCGCGGGTATTTGTGCAAATGAGAGACTTATCTGCATTTCGTAGGGGGAAAAAAAAAAACGTTAACGTCGCCGAGACGTGCGCGATCGCCATTTGTCGGTTTGCGCGTCGAGTGTCGTGCAAGGGGGAGAAAAAGATTTTTTTTCCCACGTGATGTCAGCCGTCTTCTCTCAAAGTGTAATCACCCGGGGGACACACGGACTCGCGCTTGGTCAGCGAACGGTCGGCGGCAACCTACGGCGTTGCCTCTGACGAACGTTCGCCAAGGACGTTTTGCCGATGGCACGGTGAACGTCTCGCGAAGTAGCACGAGAGATCGAAATCGGAACCCACTCCGAGGAGGGCCCTCGCTTCGGCCTCGGTCCCGCGGTCTTGGAATTTTGTTTTTCTCACCCGGCGAAGGCCGTTTGCGCACGTTTCCACGATTAAATCCGCTTCCTCAGCGCGAGCCGTATCCGAGCGATATCCCCGGCTCTTTTATCGGCGGTGTTTATTTCACGAGCGCGTCTCGCGATACGCTCGCGCGCCGAGGCGGATGTTAGTCGGACACACGTTTGCGAATAGTTCGAATCGCCGCGGCGGATTTCGCGAGACGCGCTCGCGCGCCGCTTCAACAAACTAGTCCGCCAATCGGCTAGTTCCGCGAGGTCTCCTTGGGGAAATGAGCGGCGAGGCGGGTCCGCGGGTTTTCCGCTCGCGCGGAAAACTCGCGAGGGATCAATTGGCGTTGATCGTCTCCGAGAGAACGTTCGCGCGCGATCTTAAAGTGAAACGCGACGGATCGGGAACGAGCGATTACTTTCATTTCGCCAGGAACTCGCGTTGAACTCGATGATTATCACGTCCTTTGTGAGAACGGCGTCTCCCGACGACGCGTCTTAACTTATGCCGTTAAAGGACTGGTAATGAGCCGTCGTGCGCTCGTCGCAATTGTCATATGCGGTAATAATATATAACGCGACCGGGTCAAGGCGAGCTTACCGCCAATAATCGCCGAGCTTTATGACGGCTGAGCTTGCAGGATGAAGCGAATCGTTGACTATGCCAGAAATAGAATCGTTCGCGAAGATCGCGAGAAAACGCCAGAGATGCTAATCGGAGAGGGGGACGGAGAGGGGCGGGAGAGAGAGAAAAAAAAACTACGCCGCCGACACGAGAACGGAGGGGGGAAAAGAGATGCAGGCGCCATTTTTTAAATATATTTACATCCGATCGCATCTCGATATTTATGTGGAGTCGCGCAAAAAAGTCCCTCGTAAGACTCGATCAATCCTTTAATTGAAGCCTCGACGAGCTCGCGCCGAGAATATCAGCCGCGAAGTGTCGACACAGCGGTGGATCGAATCGCGGGGACACCACTTGCCGTGTACACGATTAATAGTGATTTCGTTAAACGCCCCGCCCGCGCCCCGCCGCCCCTTTCGTTCCGTTATTTACGACGTTCGCGTACATCGCGTCTAAATTGGCGCCAGAGTGCGCATTATAAAACCGGCGGTACCCACGCGGGAGCCGTGCATGTAACAGAAACAATATCGTACGCGGACGACGTCAATTTAGCGACACGCGAGAGAAATTTCCGCACGCGCCCGGTATACGAAAACATATTGCGCAACCAGAAACGCGGCCGGAAAATCGAAATACATCTGCCCGAGAGACACGCGATTAATCGTCGCGCAATTTGTAACGCACTTTTTTTTAGATTTACCGCGGCTCCACGATTATACCGGCCAATTTATTCGCTCCCCTTTTTTCAGAGATTCAAAATATGTACAGACAGCGTGTACTTAGAGTCGTAATGATAGTAATATTTTACGCGTAATATTACTATCATTATAGCGGGTAATATTGGGGTCGCCCTACTAGGTGTACATTTACATACGTCAGCAAGTTTACACCTTGTAGGTAAAATTATTGCCTTATACAGGGTGTCCCAGGAAGAAAGGTCAATATTCTGGGAGGTGATAGTATCGGTCATCTTAAGCAAACATGTCCATATGAATATATGTCCCATTCCCCACTGTTTCCGAGATGGAGCGCATTTGGCGGACGTCCTCGTTCGGATGAAAACACTGGGAAGCGTTCCACTTTCACGCAATGTATTGAAAGCCTTGGAAAACACTTTGCGATTCGAAATTCTGCGTGTAGGAAAGCGTCGACGGTACTCTTCAACAGCAGGAGTAGCACTACCGTCGCGTAAATATACAGTATATTCGACATTTGTGAATATGCGAGGCATTTCGAACATTTCTATGATACAATGTTATCAGCACAACAGTCAACAGACGTATCAGAGTGAATTCCCGCAGAGGTTCGTGAGGTTGGATGAATGGTGAAGTGTACAGAAAAAAAAAGTAAATATGCGAGACATTCAAGTGGCTCAATCACGGAAACAATGGGGAATAGGACATATAGTCATATGAACATTTTTGCTTAAAATGGCCGATACTATCACCGCCCAGAATATTGACCTTTCATCCTGGGACACCCTATCTAATAAGTAAACTGCTTGCTTTATTTCCGTTATTAATAGTGTAATCGTTACACTTATTGCATATGTAATTTTAGATACTTTTTTTTACAGTGTGTGGGTGCTCTTCTCGAAGCTGTTTTGTTTATACATCGTCGAGGGGTAAACCGCTGACCTAGATCATTTACCCAATGCCTACTAATGCGTTAAAATTTAACAGTAAT